GGGGCCATGGCTTTATCTCGGAAAAGGGCACATGGTTTTTTTTAGATTCACTGTACATGTTTAAGACCCCATGAAATCGAAATGAAGAGTTGAGCTGTGGCTTTCAGTCCATGTGTGCTAAAGCTTTGAGGACATCTGAATATGATTCAGTGCAGGAGGTTTAAAACTTTTTGATGCCACAGACCTTCAAATATGATGATGAGGAACACCCTTCCAAAAATAAAAACACAGATATATGTACTGTTCAAAAGTTTGGGGTTACAAGATATTTTTTAAATGAGATTTTATACAATAGTTTTTTCTATTATGCTCACTGTTTCATATTTGAATATATTTAAAAATGTGTGTGTGTGTGTGTGTGTGCGTGCGTGCGTGCGTGTGTGTGTGTGTGTTTTGAAGCGTTGAGACATTTTTGTTCAGGATACTTGATGAATATAGAAAGTTCAAAAGAACAGCATTTATTTGAAATAGTAAAGACTTTTACATTGTCACACACACACACACACAACTGTCACTTTTGATCAATTTAATATGTCCTTGCTGAATAAAAGTACACTTCTTTGAATCTTACTGAAAGTGTACTTTCATGTATAATTACTTGTAGTAAAATAGAAAAATTATTTAGTTTTTTCATCATATTTTTTTTCATCATAGAATAAAATAATTTAATAAAATAAATATTTAATCATGATTTCCAACCAGTTGCAAGGAAGCTAAATAAAACAATGATACATTTCTGTACATTTTAATTCTGTATTTATTTAAAAATTAACATTACTATTTAACCTTAAAAATGTAACAAAAAAAGCTGTCAACAAATTTCCATCCCAATCTAACACCACTACCATTGCACTCCCTTGTTTCCTATTATGTGAATCAATAAAAGGGCAATAAAAGGGCCTTGATCCAATAAACACTGACACTCTAAATGACCCAAAACACACTAACAAAATCATGCATTTAAACACAGTTTGTATTCATCAAAATCATCTCTACTGATGGATATCCTTCTGATTTGTTTCAGTCGTGCTTGTCTTTAACACCCCGTTCAGTGACACACTTTCTCAAGCACAGAAGCCGGACAGAAGACATTTGTCAACCCAAATAATAAACTCTCACCTTTGCTGTACACGGCACAGTTGCTCTTTCCGTCCTCTGCACTGACCCACATCATGTCCATCAGCCAGCGAGGACCTCCATTCAGCCCCAGCGAAACCTGCGACACAAAACACAGTCTCAGTCAGACTCGGTCTCCTCCACATCAGAACATGTACAGCGACCGACCACAGCCTCGAACCCAAAACTTGCCATTTTTGTCTGCAAAGTGCATCAGAGGGTCAGTGAACAGACTCAGATAAGCTATCCAATGTTTAAGTGAGCTTGTTTAAACAACTTCAACCGTGAATTCGTCATTCCCAAAGGCTGTATCTCAACATATGTGTGTGAGGAGAGGGGCGAGCAGGCCACACCCCGTCCCGTTCGCCCTCTGAATGGCTGCATTGTTAGAGCCTCTGAATGTTTCACCTGATCAGATCTCATCCTTTGGGAGCTCTGGGATCCAGAATGGACTTGGAGACAGAAGAAGCGGATGCTGAGCACTGATCTTTAGACACATTGTGCCCTCTATCACAGCATCACAGCTTCCTCACACCCACACATGGGGAATTTAAAGAGCTGGCATGGGTATCAAAAGGATGGGTGGGGGATTTGATTTCATAACTGAAAACAGAATGACTGAATTAAATGGATATTTCTGTTTAAAAAAAAAAAAAAAAAGCATGCTCACGTGAAAAAAAAAATGTTCACATAAAGTGCTAGTAAATTTCACAAATAATTATGAAGAAACAGCGAATAACACTGAATTAAACTTGAAATTTTGAAGTGAAAAAACAAGAAATATTAGTACCTTCTTGAAAAACATACTCCATTACTCTTTTTTTTTTTTATTTAAAACTTCAAAAAATCCTTTTCTACAGTGTTCTTGAGGCTTGAATACAGTATAACACTAAGATAACTCTTGATAAATCTGAGCACAGTTTAAAAAAAAAAAAAAAGTTGAAATCTCTTCTGAAATTCTAAAGGAGATGCATTATTTATTCATTCATTTTTCCAGAAAAAAAGTGATGGTGAAAGTGAAATTCAACTTGACTATGTACTTCATAAATGTTCTTGATCTTATTGTGATTAATTGATCAGTGTGATCAGTAATCGATCAAGATAAAGAAAAAAAAAGGTAACACTTTACTTAAAGCCTTTATATATAATGCATTATAAAAGCAGTTGTATGTAATGTACAGTACATTTTAATGCATTATATGATCTCGTGAATAATTGTAACCACATTTATATTATTTACACTACACCTATAGAAAGTATAATGCATTAAAGGGGTCATATGACGTTGCTAAAAAGAACATTATTTTGTATGTGGGGGCGTGTTTAAACGAGGTGTTTTAGGTAGGTGTGGTTAACTCTTAACTTTTATAAAGAATATCTCTTTGGATTTGAGACTTTAGTCTTTGCAACTTTACAGATCTTCTTTATGCACCAAGAGCTTGTAACACTTCAAAGAGAAAGGAAAAATTTAAATCGCATCATATGACCCCTTTAACACACACAACAAACAACAAAAAGCATTTTAACTTTGGTTACAATTATTCATGAAAAGATATAATGCATTATAACGTGCATTGTGAATACCTTTAGAATTCTTTATACAAAAAGGCTTTATGTAAAGTGTTACCAAAAAAACTTGTTTTTAACAATTCTTCATGATTTACTTCCTTTAAAACAACTCTCAAACAACTTTTGTTTTCTGATGCAACTAAGTCCACAAGTTTAGAGAAAAATACTATTGTTATTATTATAACATGGCTCTCTGGAATACTTGATTCTGGTTGGGCAATTGTGGCATTCAGCTGTCAAATATATATAGTGGCACTTAACTGTGTAATTGATTGTTGTCCCCATGTTTTCTGAACACATTTTTTTGTTATTCTAGGGTATTTTAATATGAATAAATTGGTTGCTATACTGGTTGCTCACCTGGGTTCCTCTTTCAATGCAAGTTGAGTCTCTCAAATCTCTCAGATATAATAAAAAATATCTTCATTTGTGTTCTGAAGATGAACGAATTCTTATAGGTTTGGAACGACAATGATGACAGTATATGTTCATTTTGAGGTGAACTGTTCCTTTAAGTTTGAGCCATAGTAACAGTGATGATTGCCTTGTCTTACAAACACCAGTAAAAACCCATGAGAACCAAACAAACATTGTGCACACTTTGTTGACCTTCCATGTGCGACCCGCGTGCTCACTTACAGTACATATGGTGTCCGTTTTTAAAGCCTCACCTTCAGAATGAAGCGTCAGAAAGAGAGAGAGGTTTGCGCGGATCTGACTGTGTGGGAATACTTCATGAAAAAGACAAAGCCCTTGAATCATTTCTTTCTCTTTCTGCCTGTCTCTCTCTCTCTCTCTCCGCTGAATCCTCTTTCCCCTTATCAGGCCAGCACAGGCCTCCATCGGCCTCTCCCCGCTCTGACAGGAGCAACAACAATTTTTCTGTTTTTTTATCATTGTCATATAAACAATCAGAGACAAGCATATCTTATTTTCTGTTCATTTTTGTTGCAAGCATCAAAATAGCATTAAAAAAGCTTCCAGACTTGGTAAGTGAAAAATAAATTTGTCACCTGCGTATATATTGTTTCACAACTCAGAATTATGAATTCATTAGACAGAAATGTCCTAGGGAAATCAGGTTATCGTGTTCACATTTTGCCCGAATGTACCTTTTGAATTCACCCTCATAACAAATAAGTGAACCCACCTTGTCACTTCCTCCTGTGGCCGCCTCAATCTTCCTAGGGAAAGGTCCCCACGTGGTGCCCAGCAGAAGTGCCTGACAAGAACAAATCCTTCTCTCTCCTCCTTCACCAACCATTTTCAGCTCCCCTTAGAAGACAAAAAAAATGTAAGTTATGACCCAAACAGCAGCTCAGCATGTTTTTTAACTTGTTTTTGATGTTATGTTAAAAAAAAAGAGTTTCATCCAAGTACAATACAGTTCAAACCTTTGGAGATGGTACGATTTTTAATGTTTTTGAGAAGAGTCTCTTAGGTTCACCAAGGCTGCAATTGTTTGATAAAAATAAAGTAAAATCAGTAATATTTTGAAATATTATTACAATTTAAAATGTGTTTTCTATATGAATATATTGTAAAATGTAATTTATTCCTGTGATCAAAGCTGTATTTTCAGCATCATTACTCCAGTCTTCAGTGTCACATGATCTTTCAGAAATCATTCTAATATACTGATTT